CGATCGGAAGACACGGCAGTGGACCTCACTGCATTTGATTTGTATTCAATTGATTGTAGAAATCTTTGAGAAAAGTCGCACACGGTAACCGAAACGTCGGATTCCAACAACACTACGGTGTGTTTTAACTTTATAATTAAAAAAATTTCATACCAAGTGAACTACCTTTGAAAAATATATTGTGCATTGGCATGCAACATCACAAGATCTGCGATGTTGATATCACCGAGACTGGTCTTGGAAACGCACGCTGTCCCTGCAGCGATGAGTTATAGTTACTCGTGGGAAGTCAAGGAGTATATGGATCAAACAAATGAAAAGAATCCTAGTGACGAATATTTTAAAAGTGACATAGTTGACAAAGATCCTTTCGAATGTCACTTTTCTGAGGACGTTGTCCCTTTCCGGGGTGGGGGGTTAGGGGACCGACATAGTGACAGGTTATCCAAGACCAGAAAAGAGCGACTGAGAATATCCTCCGTACCAGAAGCTCCCACTAAAATAGCTCGGGCTCTATTTCTGTCGGCGATTCGCGATCGAGCTAATCCTAAAACTCACCTTGTAGATCCAGTTTGAAACTACTAAGTCATCATCATCATCGACAGCATGACATCAGTGTTCAACAACGATGCTTCACTGCCGTACAACCACGACTTATTTGAAAGCCTTATTGTAAAGAAAAGAGTAAAGATGGACGGAGGAGGAACTTGGTGCTAGCTTGCCACAATCATTCCGAGGTGCCTACACCTCCAGACATTCACTCAGGCAACTGACAACAAGAACGCCACTGACATCGGTTGGCAGCCGTATTTTGTAGTGTCTCCAACCAGACACAGTGAGCATCGAGCGGTCCCTATCCTGGAAGACGAGTAGCACCGACAGCATCCAAGCGTCTATTGATCTCCTTCATACTCCTCTGCCAAATCAAGGGTTGGCCACCTCTCTGTTTAAGCCACTCTGAGTTGGGCGTCGAAAACAGCCTAGCCTGACACAAGCCAACGGGGGCTACACCATGACAGAAGCCAATTGAGGCAGTCTGTGAAGTATTCAAAATTGAAATTACAGAGATTATCAAGCGAACTGCAGTATGAATCGCACACCACATCAATGAAGGAAGCTGGCGGCATCCAGACATTTTTTGGTCTGCCTCTTTGCTCATGGTATCCCAAATTTTGAGTGCAAAACAGTTCGACTGTTTACATCTGATGGCTGAGAAGATGCATCTCAACAGAAACGCACCGAATTCTGTTGTATTGAATGAAGCTTGTGTCGGACAACAGTCCGCAAAGTTGATCGTGTTATGTGATACAACCAACGGTTTTCAGTTAACGGCCTTCAGAGGTTAATGCACAACATCTGTCAACTGAAGTGACGTGCAGTTTTCCTTTTCCGGAGAGACCATAATTCTCTGAAGCTTCCTGCAGGGACCCGTCAGGAAAACGTGCTAGAGTAATATATTGCATTTGATCGAACCTTCAAGTGAAATCTCAAGGGCATTCCCCTTTAACAAATAAAAGATTCCTCTCAAAAGTCAAACGTTTGTGCATGTTGTGGGTACGATGCATTGCCGTTCATTCAAATAGCGTCCATTCCCGTTATAACTTCGCCATGAAGAACGACCGGCTAACATATACTTGAGACCTCATTTACGTGGGCGCTGGATATCTTCCTCTGCTGTGTGTCTATTTGACAAATTATCGACTGTCGTTCGTCACAGATCTGCCTAGATGCGAATTTTCCACGAGTCGCTAACTTGCACCGCCAGTGTATCATCCGATTCTTAGGGATCTATGCAAACACCACACTTTTTATCTCTACTTGATGTGGTTGATATAATTGTCTTCCATTCTGATGATGTTGGAAGACCATGCAGTGCCAACGTGCACTAGTAAACCGACCGACGTCAAGCCCTAAATTCAAACATATGTGATGGAACGAAGCGAAGGAAGAGGCAAAGACGCGGTTGACACGGTTTAACTACTGTCATGATATCGCAAACTAAACGTCTCGGTGAAAAGATACATCTAATTGAAGCGATATATGGAAGATGACAGTGGAACGGGGGATTCAATAGAAAATGTTTTCGGTGGACGTGGGTATATCGTAAATCAAACGAATAAGGAGGGTCGCCAGTTGAAACAGCAAAGAATGGTCTTTCGTGAGAGGAACATTTCGCATTCATAGCATGGGACGACCAACCACTTGATCGTAACTGTGTGACCACGAGAGATCCTCGTCCTTTCATGGGTAAGATCCACGTAATTTCTCTCAGTGGCAGGAAACCCCACAGGGTGCAGTGCAAAACAGGTACGAAAGGAGAGTGCCCTACCTCTCCGTGTGTAGAACCCACGAAAGCTAAGATCTGCTCTGTTCTTTTCTGTGTTTATCACAGCTCACGCAACACACTACTTATCAAAATGCTGAAAGTTCTTCCACACAAAGGAGAAGATTATCTGGAGTTCAATTCAGTCTGTCGTTAACATCAGCTCAATTTTCAGACGAATCTAGTTCGCCGAGGACGTCATCAGTTTAGTATGACAGTTGAGTAGGCTCAATATAAACGCGAAAAGATTAACCGGCAAAGAACGCCCGTACCGCTCACCTCAAGAAATCGTTTTATGCAATTGTTCTTGATGGAGGATTTATGCACAATATCAACAAAAACGGTGCTAATGGGGAACCCGTGACTGGGCACACTCACCACACACCTGACTCAGCTGCGTAGCCAGTGGCTTTCCCGTATCAAAGCCATCATTCTGAATTCGTAACCGCCTAATTTCCCATTTTACCGAGCAATCAGAACAATCCAACATCAGCCGGCTGATTGGACTATCGCATCCGAGAACAGACTACCTCTTCCCTGTTCAGCTTACTCCTTTGTGAAGGAAATCATAGCCGTCAGAAAACTCACACAGGTTAAAAAAACAAGTGAAGTGAACCGATTCGTGCCGATTTGAGAAATCAATTGCTTTAAATATTCTCAGGGTTACTGAAGTTTATGGGCAACGGTTGAGAATGGTTCACGAAAACTAATTTACGGCCAACCAGAGTTGTCGTACGATCTGGCGCGTAACTTTCAGTCCCGATCACTTTGTTTTGAGAAGATTTGGTGCAGAAGGCAATCGACGGTTCACAACAAAAAACAGGATTTGGAGGGCATTAAAATACTCGTGAACTGAGATTCACCAACACCCGTCCAAAACGGGCAGTTTGTACTTTCTGGTTACAGCAAAGCAATATTAAGTTTTTCCAAATATGTTTCCACATATTTTGAGACTTGCAGAAAAACGTGATCGAACATTAGTGAGTTAACCTTTTCTCTGTGGATGGAAGAACCCATATAAATTGTGGAACGCTACCTTGAAGCGTATTGGGAAAGTTGGGGCGGAGAAACACGTTTTAAGACAGGGACTGCGATTCACACCACAGCGGCTGATAGCCGAGGCGGTGGAAATCACTAAGCATCACAGCGTGGATTGAGTCGAAAGTGTGGAGCTAGCGAGCGTATGGAAAGCGGTCTTAGATAGGCCGAGTTGACACGTGACGGTGTGGTTGTCAATCCAGTTAGGATCATTAGAAAAAACGGGGGATTAGGGTGGAAACCCCAACCGACCAAAGGTCACACCATCCCTCTTACACAACTTTCTTAGCAGTAGCTCACCCACACAGACTAACAGAAGGTTCAGACGAAGTTCAAGAGGAACCATCAAATGAACCGAACAAGAAGAACTAAACCCTNGGACCCAAACACATGTAGGTTTCCCCACCGACCCAACACTTGTTCAACCACTCTAACACACTAAAATCCCTCGGCCGACACCCAACAGAGATTTAACTTGACTTAGCTGGTTGGTTCTCCTTCCGCCCTAAATCTCGATCAACGTCGGAACTTGGTCACTTGGCCTGACGAAGCTTTTGTGTCAAAAGCGAAACGTTGCCCAGCAATAAATCTACCGATTGTCACCAAACTTTTTCGAAAACGGAGAAACACGTCTTACGTGAAAACTTGACGGGCCTGTTTCAAGCGGCATCTAACAATTTCTCAGTGAGACTTAACTGCAAGACGTTTTGGAAACATCCCTCAAGATAGATCCAAATACCGACAGGCTACAACTTGTGCGTGGTGAGACCGTCTCGGACGCTCTTGTTGACCGCAGCACACGTGAGAATAACGAAGAAACTGGCGTGCAAATCAACATGGGAAACTCGAAATTCAAACGCAGATCATGTGCCACCAGATTAAGTAACTTATGGACCGGATGCTTTTGAGAACCGAGGTCTTATGGACAGCAGACTCACGCTTTCTCAGCCTTTAATGTCACCGTAACAAGTGAGGGACGCCTCCGTGAACTTTTCTGATGCGATTTAGACCGGGTTCCTGCTCTCGAAATGTTTGGCCCTGATATTGCGTCTACTCTGGTCCATACGACCCAGTAGTCCACTTTGTGCGTCTCCATTTCAATTTGAAGTTCGGACTTTTAATATGTATTTAAGTGTCCGTTTATTCGAAGTCAACGTGAAGTGTCGAGTTGGTGTCAAGACTGTCCCGCACAATCTTTCTCCTGACAATATGCAATGTGCAATATGGTTCGATCGACCACGCTGCTTGCTTGTCAGTTTGCTCTCCGAACTTGGCCATTGGCTATAAAACGTTTCGGCGACAACCAACGCGACATCGACGATGTGTCCTTGGTTGGCTCACGCACGGTTTTACACAAATGGAAGACTGGAATTAATTCCGGCTTTGTTTTGTAAGTGGACAAACACCACTAGTCATTAGAAGCTCGCGCAAAAACGTGCCTTAGCAACACTACGGAGGTGAGGAAATAGCGGATAAAGTAAACATTAAGTCATGACATCTGGCCCGATGAAAATATTATTGCACTGGATCAAAATCCACTAACATGAGTATGAAATGTAGTCCATAAAAACAGTTGAGCACAACCAACTGGCGCCTAGTTGGAGCAGGCCTACTATCAGAGTATGCAGGTGTGTAATGATCGACACCCGAACTGAAGCCAGCAAAATGAGTTGAGAAAAACTCTGTGAGTTGCTGGCTGTGACAAAAATGAGAAATTACAATGAGCGGAATCCAAAACTTAGACCAGAATGACGATGAATATAGCTTGGCGTTAGTAAATGAGAGAGAAGCAGAGCCGTCGCAAGTATTAGCGGAAAGAGAACGACCCCAAATCGGATGCATTCTGCTGTATGTGCTCGGTGAACTCAAAACACAAAGTGGTTTTTATTGTAACAAATGATAATAATCTGGTAATAAAGCTCACCAAGTGTCTCCACTGCCGGCAACTTCCGAACCACGGCGTTTCGTGCAGCCATACGCATTTGACCAATGGCTAAAGTTACCGTAACAACGATGGGAAGACCCTCCGGGATGGCTGCTACCGCCAGGCTAGTTGGAGATAAATGGACAGTCAACATTCAAAAAAAATAATCCTGTACCTTATTTTTAAGAAAAAAGAACTGACGTCATCATGTGAAATGCAAATGAAAACGAGAACAAAACTTTTAGGGACAACAAAGGTACTTGTCCACACCAGACTAACATCGTAGGGCTCAATGAAGGTATGCCTGATGGGTTAAGTGTCTTGAGACCGAAGCTCTGAAAATCGGGCAGACAGAGGCCTAACCAGGTAGCGAAACAGGCCTAAAAAGCTTTTCGAAATACTTATTTTTCAAGCGGATACCGAAAAAAGCAATATTCACATGATTCTAGGGTGGGAAGATAAAAAGCGCATGTGCCAAAGCATCATCATCATCATTGTCAGCCGTAATGACCGCTTAATCGTCGTACACGGGTTGTAGCTGCCGCAGTTTCGTTCACCGATGATTTGGGGGAGGGGGGAGGTAGCTGCGCATTGCACGCGCGAGCTGGTAAATTGGTGCATAAATCCAGCACTGTCAGTGGCCTGTCAAGTGTGGGGGGGGGGCGGTTGGAAAAGGAGCTATGCATTGAAGACAATAGCTTGGATACACGAGCGCCATTGAGGGCGCGACTGCGCCATGTCTGATAGTGTCTCTAACCATTGATGTGGCCCGTCTCGGGGGCCCCAT